GGAAAGGAGGGACGTTTCATACTCCGAGTGACGGAACGTGTCTCAATTCCTAGCCGCCGACACTCCGGATTACCCATGATGGAGTTTAGGTCTTGTTGTGTTTTCATGTGCATTCATTTCACATCGAGTCGTGCAATTCGACTTCTCGGCCATCATGCATCGAGACGCGTGATTGGTGGCACGAGAATCGAGGACTACACTCCCTGAAGAGTAGTCATACATACATATATGAAATACTTTGCCATGCTCCTTTGTTGCTCTGTGTCACAGCAAATCAGAAATTAGCGGTCTTCTGGAGCGTTGCGCAATATTCCGAAAACAATTGTAAACGGAGGCGAATCAGGGTATCACAATGGATTTTTGTGCCAGGCAATTCAAGCATGCGTCATTCCACCATTCGGAACAGAGCTGAGGCAGTCCATAGGCTTACATGCTAGTTTATCGCTTTCCTAGTTAATTTGTTAATTAATTAGGGTTTTGTAATATTTAATTATTCATTCCAGACTGTAATTATTTATTCGGACCCTCCGAGCGAGGCACAACTGTAATAAGTGTGCGTGTGTGTGATGTATGTCTTCCAACCCCATGTCTTTCTCCCTTTTATTTACCAGCTTATGATGGTTAGATTAGGGCATGTTTCAATTAGCATACAGTATGATAGCATGTTTGCATTAATTCATCTATCTTGCATGCACCGGGCTCGGCGCATCATACTAACTGCATTTGTATTTCAATTCCAAGTTGAATACGTGTTAGCTGTAGCAGTTCATATGCCATCTTAGAATAGCCGAGCCTATCTTAGTTGCATTTTGCATATGTTGCATTAGGCATTACTGTATAGTTAGGACCATGCATGGATTTCTAATTAGCTTCTGTTTTGGCTTAGAGTACTCGGTAAGTGTTTTTGCTTTAGCATCCTTGCATGTGTGTGAGTGACTGCCATGATAGCATGCTTACTATGAGGCTAAGTGCTTATATGATATAATTGCCTGAGTGCCTATGGGTGAAAGTTGGGTTATTTGAATTGGAACAATTCATTAATTGTGAGTTTTAAGCCCACTAGATAGTGGCAAAATCATGTTTTTCTAAGCCCACCCGAGGGTGAAAAATCCACGTCTTAGCCTACTTGCGGATAGCACCATCAAACCATTTTCAAAACAAACATGAGATACTTTGTTCCAATTCAAGCGACCCAGTCTATACTTGTATGCTGTGCGCATCACATAGTAATCTAGGCTAATAATCGGAATAAGAACGCATAATGTTTTCAAAACTAGATATCATGGTTAGTAGAGGCCGATCTTTGATCGGGCGAGCGGGGGTCCTCACGAAGTGACCTTCCCCAATCGTACCCAAGTTCCCGAGCCGAGGCAACTTTGGTGATGACGGACACGTGGCCTTAGGCAACAAGTCAGGGTTTCCTAAATTTCCCCAAAAATAAAATATTTAGGTGGCGACTCTGTATCTGGCAAAGCAGTGCATGTTTGACACTTCTTTAAAAAAAATCTGCTTTAAAAAACGATTTGCCGGATTTGGACGCTTTGATGATTTCATCGGTCTTGCGTTGCACTCTGCGAGATTAGATACAGGACCGTGACATTGAGTCCTAAACTGTAGTGAGCCCAATGAACAAAAAGCCCAAATGAACAAAACGATTCCCTTCCGGGACATTCGGGGACGTCTACAGGTAGCTATTTGGTTAAATTTTGCCTCAGGTTTGGTGGTTCAATGTGCACATCTGGTTGCTAATGCTGATCTGTGCTTATTCAGTGGTCTTGCCTGATCTGTGCTAATTCTGTTACTAAGGAATGGAGGCTGAGTGGGTGTGCTGTGGTTGAGTTGGTGTGTTAACCTGAGTTAGAGCAACAGTAGCAGCTTTTAGTAGATGGTTCATCATTTGGTGGGTTGTGCTTGAGAGTGTATTAGTATCAGGTCACAATTTACATTGGTAGAAGTCTGCATTGGTGGAAGTCTGATGCTTGTTACATTAGAAGTTTATCAGCTGTTATAGGCCGTGGTCTGTTGTCTGTCTTCTCGTTGGTTTCTCACCAACTTGGGGGTGCTAGCAAATGATAGGATGGGCTTTTTGGTGCCAACCTAGTTGGGATGATTTAGCTCATTGTGATGTTTTTGCACTTCCTTTTTCTTTATTGATGTTTTTTGTTTTGTACTGTGTACTTGCTTCTTTCATCAATAAAGCTTCTTTTTTGCCGATAAAAAAAAAAGAGATTTTCGAATTGTTTGATTCTTAGGCAAAATTTTTTTTTTTTATATGGATATGATTTGTCAAAACATTAATTTTGACATAGGTAATCATAATTATTTCGAGTTTCTATTTCATTTCTAACACCTGGAAAGCAATAAGTAAGAAATGTTATATTTTGATTTATATCAGAATTGTGGGGGTGTATTGATATTTTTGTATGGTAATATCCTAATAAGGAAATTAATTTTTCTTAAACTACTTAGCATGGGGGGTGCTCGGAGAATTTTACTATAGTAAGGATTCCGATGGTAAGTCTACAAAAGATGTCAATTCTTTGTCTAAGACAAAGTTAGAGGAGAAACAAAATAACTTTGTTAAACTCCTAAAGAACGTCTCTATATCTATTAATTAATTTTAGATATGAAAGTGACATAGAGTAACGGTAAGTCTCGCTGTAATCAAACACTTAATACCGTAGGACATTTGCTCTCAGTTGTGAATATCGTTTAAGGATAATGGATCCACTAACTACTCAATAATATATAACTAAGAAGATCAAATGAAAAATAATGGCTGCTAAACAAAAAAAAATTTGACCGGAGAACAAATGAGGAAAAGTTTATCGAGGGGAATGTGATTAAAGCCTATTAATTTCGAGTCGCCATAACGACAACCAACTTAGCTAATTGGAGATCCCAAAATCTAAGTTCAAAAGGACAACCGAATTATAGATGACTCACCAAAAATTATTAAGGAAGTCTATCTCTTATCTATTCCTATGATGAGAGTGATCTACAACATACATTGTATACATGGGACTTAGGAGAAGCTATACTTTTAATAATTACTTATATCTTGAAAAATCCAGAGAGGTATCTTTCAAGAGGAGTATTTAAAATACTCGAAATAAGAATCACCTATATAAGTGTGAAGGAGCCACTTCTATGAGAATTGATAAAGCTGAATTTTCTAAAGTACTCATAAAAACCAAGAATAGCCCAAAGCCAAAATTGGCACAACCAAAAGAACCAAGCTATGTTCAGAGATATTTTGTTTGAATTCTATTGTCTTGGCTTAGATAAACGGCTGAACAATTCGAAGTATCACGTCCACTGATTAGCTAATAAGTCCGATAGTCTTTCATTAAGGAAGGTTCAAGGCCAAAAACTACCTATCCTGATGTAGAATATTTCCATTTTGTACTCTCTTTGTCAATGTTTGGATTTAATTTGCATTGTGTCGTCAATTTCATTCCTGTTGGGGATTGTTGAAAATTTTCATAAAAGAATTGACTCTATTTGAATGAAAGAATGCAATCCTTCATGGTATCTATTCGTATGAAAGGGTGTGAATCCAAGAGACATGACTATTCTAAAGGTTACGAGTACATCTATAAATACCATCACATTCCATGGCATTGATGCATAAGTTAAGGTTTGTTTTAAAATTTATACATTATGTTTAGTCGAGTATATAAGAAAAAGTACATGGCACAAATTGGTTCGTTATATGCACAAAAAGTTGTGCAATTTTTATGTGGGGTGATCGTTATATCTTGGAGACAGGACATCTATTAATCATAAGTACTAGAGGCGAAGGTGAAATTCTGTCTTAAAGACACAGTGTTCAAATATTGGCATCGGTCATAATTTGTATTAAATGCAGAATTTCTGTAAGAAATTCCTTGCATTTTATTTTTTTATTTATTTATATTAAATTGATTTTACCGAAAATATTTTTCCTACAATATGGTGGTTTCATGGAAGTTACAACTTTTTTGATGGTGTGAAGTTATTAAGAGTTATATTGGATTATAAGTTCAAGCCTATCTACATATACATGTGATAGTCATCAAAACACAAACGACGTTTATTAATAATAGGCTCAAAACGCTATTCTTTTCACTTCTCCATATTATGTGAGAGTGTATTTACATATACATTCAAAACTTGATCAAATTGAATAGCATAACAGGATACATCCCTCTTTCTTAATAAAATATTTAAGTTCTCACATTTGTTACCACCTAAAACATTACAGCAAATGCAATAATCCGCAACTTTACCTTCCCAATACAACATCTAATAATTTTGAGAGAATATGCAATTTTTTATTTTTATTTTTTATTTTTTTGGCTTCTCTCTCTTGTTTTTTATTTTTTTCTTCTTCTTCTTTTTATGGATTGTATTGCATTAGTTGGCTGCTACTATATTTTGCACAAAACGTATCGCCCATGAGACACTCACATCAGTCAATATTGACGCTTTCAACTTGTAAACATGTCTCACCCAATAAGAATTGCAATTTAGGTTAGGAAGAAAAACTACTTTTTGCTTGTTTTTGGCCGTTTTAATCTTCATGCATGATGCTTATTAGCTTCTACATATATGTATATATATATATATATATGAAGGATTATTTTTACTAATTCAATTAGGAATTGTGAAAGTTTCCTTGTCAAAACTGACTTAAAAAATATATTTTAAAAAAATTGTCAATTGATAAAAGAATATTTACAAAATATTTTGTCCAACACCAGTTCATAATAGGAAACAAATAAATAACTGAATTTTTTTTTTATAAATATTCAATTTTTGTTTATGACATGAATTTCATCATGAACTCTCGGTTAAAAGTGTACAAAAGTGACCAATTCATCTGACTTAGTTATTTTACAAAAATGTTTACATATGAGCACAAATTAAAGTTCACATATTTTTTTATCAGCAAAAAAAAAAAACTTATTGATGTAAGAGTAAAATACAAGGTACCAAACAAAGAACATCAATAAAGATAGGTAAATGCAAAAGCATCACGGTGAGTCACATGGCACCCATATACACAGTGAAAACACAAACAAGGGAGAGGGAGAAATACAAATATTTAGAAAATTTTCTTGAGAAACAAATTAACAACAAAAGTTGAGGACAAGGGCAGCACAATTAGAGTATGGCGAAATTAAACTACATGAACGTTTGAATATTTGTGTTGTAACTGGAAACCACACTTTCTTCCCCTCTTATGAACTCAAACTTCTTATTCCACTCTCAACCCATCATTAGCTTGGTAACTTCTGATTTCTACAAACATGGCTTTTTGTGGGTAACACATTTCCTTGAAACCCACTAGGGCTAATAAGACCAGTTCGGTTCTATGAGCTCGTCATGACACATCCACTTTCTTTTCTTGCAACTATTTTGTGGCAAAGGCAATGCATGGCAAGCAATTAGCCACCCTATCTTTAATAGATCTCCAGAACTAAATTCTTTCTTCTGCGTCAATGACTTTTGTTATCCCACTTTCATCACAATGATTCATCTAAGAGGGATAACAACAGTCATTGTCGTGAAAGAAAGAATATAGTTCGGGAGATTTATTAAAGATATGGAAACTCATTGCTTGCGATGCATCGCCTTACCCACAACAAAGTTGTAAACGGGAAAAAAATGGACATGTTCATGAGAAGCTTTAATAAGGTCACTAGACATGTTCACTAGGACTAATAAGGTCAATTTGGTTCTACAAGCTCATAAGGACACATCTATTTTCTTCTCTTACAATTAAGGACACATCTATTTTCTTCTCTTACAATTACTTTTGTTGGCAAAGGTGAACATCGCAGTTTAACAGTTGTCCTATTTTTAATAGCTCTCCGAACTGAATTCTCTTCTCGACGTCAATGATTTTTGTAATTCCACTTTCATCACAACGATCCATCTAAGAGGAATAACAAAAGCCATCCACGTGAAAGAAAGAATACAGTTCAAGAGATTTATTAAAGATATGGCAACTAATAGCCTGCGATACATCACCTTTAGCCCACAACATAGTTGTAGAGGGGTGAGAAAATAGGCATGTTTATGAGGAGCTTGACGAAGCCAGACTGACCTTCTTGTCTTCTTGATCAATTAGTTAACCTCTATGTTCCCTGCAAAAACAAGAGAGAGAGAGAGAGAGAGAGAGAGAGAGAGAGAGTATCAAACTGTCACAATTTATATCAACAATGCAAAAGAAGAAGAAGAAGAAAGAAGAAATGGAATGAAGATCATAATAAAGAAAAGAGTGAGATGTCTACCTTTTGAGTTTCAAATATGACCAAAATGAACCAGTTAGGATGTGTGAGTTTGAAGAAGTAAAGATTGTGAAAGTCTTAGACTCAGCATAGGTGGGTATGTGTGTGTGTCTATTTTTTTTTTTTTCTTTTTTTTGGGTGGGGATACTCCAACATCAACATTGTGTACAAAATTTACTACACGCAGCTAATGAAAGTATATGTTAGAAGAGGTGAAGATTTATGGGTAGAATGGGGTTGAGAAGCTTAAGAACATACACACACACACATATATATATATAGGGTTAGGGTTAGATGGGAGTAATGCAATATGTGAGGAAAGGCATATCTGAATTATCACTGTTGGGTGAAAAGAAAAATGAAAATGGTTTCAAATAATAAGTATGTACAGAAAATACATCTAGGATGATGTCAATCATATTTTTGAAATGAAAAATGATTTATAAATAGAAAATTTATAGATAATTTATATTTAGAATAGTGTGTCAATAACATTTATAAAATTATAAGGATAATAGTAAAGGTTGTTTTGGGTATGATTTATAAGGTGGATTTTTACTTATTACGAATTTTTTTTTACAAAAGAGTAAAGAGATGATATGATCAAAATAAGTCAATAAATCTATAAATAGCTTATTTATAGTGTTGCCAAAAAGACCTTAATGCTGTGTATAGTTTGGAGATTTAAAGAGAGATTTGAAAAGGAAAATGGAAAAGGTAGGTGAAATGTGAATAAAACATGACTATATTTCACTTAATTTCACACACCTTTTCCTTTTTCCTTTCTAAATCTCTCATCAAATCCCCCAATCAAACATAACATAAGTGTTTTGATTGGAAATGAATAGATCACATGAAGTAACATCATTCCATAAGAAATTATGTACAAAAATTCTATCGATACTCTTGGAAATTATGAGAAGGAAAATATTAGATCAACAAAAATTTTATACAAAATTTCATAACAAAATAACGTGGAAAAGGCAATATTGGTAATATGAACCATGATGGGCCTTTTTTTTTAAAATAAAAGACACAAAGCTGCCATGTCATTTTAGATCATAATTACGTATGAATTTTTGTTTATATAACGTTAAATGAAGGGAAAAAAATACCAAAAGCTTGATTTAGAACTCTTAAAATTTACAATAAAAGTGATAAGTTGAATAGCATTTACAAAGTCATGACAGTTTGGATGTAATTTGACAAATTTGCCTTTATATTTTTTCTTTTTCTCACATCACATCAGCTACTCGTATTCTCAATCACACTTATAAAAAAGTGTCGTGAATAGAGGGGTAAATTTGTCAAATGAAATCACATTTAAATTTTCATAATTTTATAAATATTTTTTAATTTATCTTTGTAATTACTCAAAAAAAAAAAATTAAAAAAAAGACACCTAAATATGTACAAAAATGTTCACGCATGAAAATGATTGATCAACTGGTTTTTGGCTTCGATAAAAAAAACGTGTTGGTCAGGTTCATTCATGTATTCTCGAACCTCTATTATTGAAGGGTAAATGGACCCCAATTGACTTGACTTGACTTGGGTTGGGTCTTTCTTTTTCTTTTTCTTTTTGTTTTTCTTGTATTGTAAATTATGCCCAATGAATGAATGATTGAATCATTCACATGGACTTTTCTTTTTTGGTTTCTTGTATCGAAAATTATGCCCAATGAATGAATGATTGAATCATTCACATGGACTTTTCTTTTTTGGTTTCTTGTATCGAAAATTATGCCCAATGAATGAATGATTGAATCATTCACATGGACTTTTCTTTTTTGGTTTCTTGTATCGAAAATTATGCCCAATGAATGAATGATTGAATGATTCACATGGACTTCTTGAACAGCGTATTGATGGAGGG